GTAAAGAGGGGGTGTTTTGTGGGGATTCGAGAACAGAAGTAAAGAGGGGGTGTTTGGGGGGTTCGAGAACAGAAGTAAAGAGGGGAACCAACGCAGGGCTAGACACCGACGCTCTACAAAAGCGAGAGCAGCAAAATGGTGTGAAGTGTTGCTCTGCTCTCACTTTTGTGGAGCCTACGAAGCTTCGCGGGGCCAGCCCCGCCAACTTTTTTTCCCCAACTGCGGGGTGCCTACCGGTCGCCTACCGACGGTGCCTACTGTAGGCAGGTCGGCCGCCTACGGTTCCGGGGGTGCCGACAGTCGGCCAGACTACCCTGCCCAAAAGTGAAAAGTGAGGGAAAAATTTCCCAAGGCCCAGAAATTCATTTCTGTGTTGGGAGGAGCCATATCCAGTTCCCACAGAAGAGAGCCTGGAGGATGAAATTTCACCTACACATGCCCAGGCCCTTCAAGATGGACACAGACAAGAAAAATAAGGACATATTGGCTGCAAGTGGCACTTTCAGAGCCGTCATTTGAGCTGTGCCTCACACACTTCTTCTGTGTCCCGAGCAATGATTCGCCTGACCACAATAGTTTTACGCGGGCACATGGAGGGTGTTGAGGCCATGGCCGACAACAAGGGAATCCAGAAAGAGCAAACCCCACAGATTATGCTTCCTTTTGCATTTTAAAATTGTGAAGAAAATGACGAACCTGGACATCATGCACTCGATGAGACTTGAGAGCCCGAAGGATGAGCAAGGCTGCTTGAGCATCGGTTGCAGGAGGCTGCTGTGCATCATTCCAGGCTTCCAATATCTTGTCATACCTGATATGCCACCACCACCACCAACAACAACAACAACAACAACAACAACAACAACAACAACAACAACAACAACAACAACAACAACAACAACAACAACAACAACAACAACAACAAAGACAACAATGACAACCACAACCACAACCACAACCGCCACCACAACAACAACAACAACAACAACAACAACAACAACAACAACAACAACAACAACAACAACAACAACAACAACAATGACAACAACGACAACACCAACAATGACAATGACGACAACACCAACAATGACGACAACAACGACAGTACTTTTCAATGATGTTGCATCCTGATCAGTCCGCATTATCCAAGTGCTTGCGTCATTTCTAGAAATGAACAAGCATCAAAATTTTAATCTGCTGATCACAAGGAGCCCGCACAGACGGTGACCTTGGAGTCAAAAACCCACACATAGTAGAGTCAACAATCCGCACGTCGATGAACTGACAACAAAATGCTTCACACAGTGCGCTTAAGCTGTATCATTACAAGCAAGTTGCACACAGGTATCGTTACAAGCAAGTCGTACACAGAAATCCAACCTTTTATTTCCTGGACAAAGCATCACGAAGGTCATGTAGTACAATGTGCTGTGGTCCTCTACGTGACACTGACAAAACACAAGTTTGAAATCCAAACATAAGTCCCAACCAAACATTAGATGAAGAAAACGATGAACAAAGGTGAGAATGGAAAAAGATGGGAAGAGAATAGCAATGTAGTGTTACAAAATAACAATATACAACATCTTTAAAGTTTAAACCACTTTGCTTTTTAATACAAACATCGACGACGGAAGAAATCACTGGCGATATCTTCATTAGGCGTGCTGAAGGTGGCCGTTGCTCGTGGTTGCAAGTGTACATCGGATGTGCTTAGTTGAATATTTTATGTCCCCGATTGATCGCTCAGGAGTTTCAAGAGACATTGCTGCCCTCGATCCTCCAAACTTCTCTCTCCTTCCCTCCCTTGCGTAATTATATTCTCTTCTTTATTCCTTCTTCTTCTTCTTCTTCTTCTTCTTCTTCGGTTCCTTGGTCCGTTTCGCCAAGGTGATGGGAGGTCCCTGGCGGTCTTTGATCGCCCAGGTCTACCCCCACCGTAGGATGTAGCTGCTGTGGGTATTCCTGCTGATAATCTGGGTGATGAAAAAAGAAAAAAGAAAAAAGAAAAGAAAAGAAAAATGAAAAAAGAGAAAAGGAGAAAAGTTGGTCCGTTGTACAGCCCTTCTCGCTGTTTTTTCCTTTTTGCCCTGTGCTGAGTACTCCTTGCAGGCGAAGCTGGACCAGACTAGCTCTGGTTGGTACTACAAGCTCCTGCAAAGGTGTACAGCATACATATGTTGTATTTGAATACAATGTACCCCGTACGTTGTATTCGTATTATCATATACAACATACGCACATTTTTTTGGGGTTAAACCACCGGTACATCCAACTATCGGCCGCGGGCCCTTTTCGGAGGCCGCCCGCTGCTGATTCGATTTATCTACGGTGCTGAAAAATTTCGTAGGCGACGAGTTTTCTTTTCAGCAAGGCTGGGGCCGTGTACCGGCAGTTTAAGACAGTAGGCATATGACAGGCCTGCCAGCACCTGACCATTTGATCATCCTGATGTATTGCCTAACCGAGACTTTTTCTTTGGACCAATCTTCTGTCTTTCTGTATAAACATGCTTGCTGGTGATAAGCAACCAGACTGACACCCTCCAGAATAGAAGGGACACGTGTTTCGGGGGGAAAAAAAAACAAAACTTGGCTTGACCTCAAGAGCCAAGAAAAATCAGAAATAATGCACTGCAACCAGAAGTCCTACTTGGGCATGTTGAGGATGGTCAGATGACATTAGCACAAAATGGGAGAAAAGGCAAGGCATTAGGATTCAGTGATTCACCATTTCTCCTGTGTTCTCTTGGTGACTTGAACATATTGTGAAAGCCCTGCTGGGACCTAGCACAACCACTCATAAGACACAAAAGTCCAAATGTCAGCTTAATATTCTGGGAAATCACTTGATCCTTGACAAATGCCTATATAGATCAACTCTCTGTAATATCAACCTGTTCTATAGCACATGGGATCATGTGCACAAGCTTCTAGATTTTCAAATTCATTCATATGTTTTCATCATCATAGGTTTCAACAATCCACCATGCATAAAGGTTGCTCATTACTTCAGCTACAATCTCAACAGGTAAGCTTGCTCTTTTTTTTAAAAAGAAAATTGCATCTGTACCCCCCTTAAAGATGGGAATAGCGATATACTCAGTCCCAGCGCCAACTTGCATCTATACCCAGAAAACGGCCGGTGGAAATTATTTGCATGCCCAGGACCGAGGTCGACCCAGGTTGGTTCCGCAAAATTGCGCTTATAACCAACTACCAGAATGCACAAATTATGGGCATACCCAGGCCAAATTATGGGCATACCCGGGACTGAGGTAGACCCAGCCAAATTATTCATATACCCAACTACGGGATGGCTGAAATTGTGCTCATACCCAGCAGCCGTTGGGCAAGAACGGTTCACTTCGTGGGCACAAGCATAATTTTGTGGTGTGCCATCCAAGGCCCGCCACTGGGTGTGGGTACACCTGCAATTTTCCCAGCCTGGTTTCTGGGCATGAGCGTACTTTCGTGGTCTAGACCGAAGGCCCTGTGGGACTGGGTACGCCCACAATTTTGCACAGGGGAAAAGTTGGGTACTATGCAAAGTTGAACGGGTTCCGGGTATAGATGCAAGTTGGTGCTCGGACTGGGTATACCAGGTATTCCCATCTTTAACTGGGGTACAGACGCAATTTTCCCATTTTTTAAATTTAAAGCTGGAAACCACATCCAGTGTCCCTCACAAATAAGAACTCAACGCTTCCCTCCTGAGACAGCAGCATTGATTCATCCCGCTCTTTAACACAACGCTTGGATGCCCGCCGTGGCTACGCCCGCAGTGCATGCCTGCTCCTCCTCTTCCCCCCTGTTGCTCGGCCACCTCCTCTCCGTACTGCTTCCCCACCGCCCTCCTCTTCAGCCACCTCCTCCTCCTTTGCTGCGTTCTCCTCCTGCCCCTCCTCCTCCGCCATGTCGTTCTCCTC